GAGTACGTAATTACAAAGTTGTTCAAAATGTCCGCCGTCTGCTAGTAAACAAGCTTCAGCACGTCGAAAAAAAAAGTGCCGGTCTTATGAAAAACTGGTAGAGGAACTTTTTATTCAGTTTTCGTTGTATAACACCATTCCGAAGTCCGTGTGCGCGAATTTCGAAACACCCTGTATACTGTTATTGAAACTAATTATATAATGTCGCGCATTGGGTTAATCCTACCTTTGTGCCGGAATGTATAGAACTAGTTGTCAGGTAAACTCCTGACTTGACTTTCCGACTACTTTTAATAGTCATTGCCGAGGTCATTGCAATGAACTTTGGTCATATTTAGAAAATGCCCTCTCGCGCCTTTATTGTGAACCCGAGGCACAAAGTGTACAAGCCTTTTTTGTAGATCTCATCAAGATACATCTTTTTTGTAATTAACATTTTTCACTCTGATGATTACTTTTACAGAAAAATGCAAATTTAGGAAAATAATAACTAAATAGTTTAACTTTTCAATTCAAAGCTTCTGTGTCAGTGTAAGGAGTAGTTTTTATTGGGACTGATAGGATCACGCTACCCGATTTCAGTCATATTATGGTAAGGAGTGATTTTGGAATTAATTAAGGAATATCCAGTTTCTAAGAGAGAGGAAATTTAATGAATTCGGGTTGAGCCGTCGCGTCGTGTGATCATGTAAAAATTATTAATTTAAATGAATTAAGATCGGGATTCGGGATTGGCGTCAAAGCGTTGCTAAAGATTGGGTTAGGGAACCCGTATGGAGAAGTATCGGAAAAGGAAAGCGGTTAGGCAGTAATATTAGCGAGGTCAGTAAGCTTGCGGGTATCGTTAACCTTTTCACTGCTGCGCACGTATACCGGGTGGTGCCTAGCGCGACGCAGCATGGGGATTTCAATGGTAATTTCTTTATAGTAAATTACTAGCTCCCCTAATTATTTTAGAGCAAAAGTCTAAATAACACGTGTGCGCATTCATTTTTTTGTCGTAGTAGTTATGTATTCAGGATAAATTGTTTTATCCATAAGTCAATCAGTAGATGGGGATGAATACGTTGGATTGACGAAGCAGGAGGCTATGGTTTATTATTTTTATTTTTTATTTATTTTTTTGTTTTTATATAAAAAAAATAAATAAATTAAATAAAAAATAAAAAAATCCAATCAAAAATAAATAAAAAAATTTTCATGCCCCTCCCATAAAATACATTGAGCTTTACTTCCTAACCTTGCTGTGCACGTATATGCACGTGCTGGGTGCTGCAAATCAATCTGCTGATGACGTATATACAGGGTGTAAAAAAGTATGCTGCCAAACTGAAACCCTGGATAGTAGGCAACCAGCTGAGCAGAAAATACTGAATCACTGGTTGTCTAATCAGTACCGTTGCGGAACTATGAACCCCTAAAGACGACCAATGAGCGCGCCGTATTACGAATACCGCAACACAG